GAATACAGAGTTAATAAAATGTAACTAATAATAAAAAAAATAAAAAAATTCTGTAGCAATTAACACATCGTTTAAATTAAGCCTTGAGATTTCCATCCCTGTTAAACTCTTCTGTGTAGGCATAAGTTTATTGTGTAATTCAAATGTTGATTTCTGTAACACCCCCCCCCCACCAATTTTGATGCAATCCTTGTTCTGAGAATCTCTTGTCTCAATGTTGTGTAAACTCTGCTTCCCAATTGTCCTCTGATATATCAATAAAGCAATTAACAGCCAATCGCTGAGAAGAGGAGAGAATAGGGCTGAACTTCCTGCCACTAAGAGGAGGAGGTAAGAAGAGAAAGTGGGGGATTTTTGCCTCAGTAGAGGTGAAGTGGCTGGAGTAGGGAAAGCTACAAAGTACAAGTATCCCAGTGACATAAACTGGGAGGAAACCAAATTAGCTTAGAGGGTTAACAAAAGAGTAATAACTGTGCAGTTATTGTGTTGTGAAGCTTATTATCAAACAAATATAAAAGAGTCAATTATTTGTGTGGTAGTGGGATTAAGAGAGAATCGAAGAAACACAGTTTTATAAAAATAACTTTAACACTTCTAATTACCTCATTTTAATTAATTAATTAATTAATTAATTAATTAATTAATTGACTTTACAGCCCCTTCCTCCTTTACTCCTAGTCCTTCCTCCTACCTCTGCCACTTCATGTACTCTTACCTGCTTTCTTTTAAAAAGGGGGAGGCCTCTTATGGATATCAACCAGACTTGGTATACCAAGTTGCAGTAAGATTAGGTACCTCCTCTCCCATTAAGGCTTGACAAAGCAGCCCAGTTAGGGGAAAGGGTCTCAAAGGCAGACAATGGAGTCAGAGACATCCCTGACTCTGTTGAAAGTCCCACATGAAGACCAAGTTACACAATTGTAACATATATGCAGATGGCCTAGGTCAGTCCCATGCAGGCACCCTAGTTGGTAGTTCGGTCTTTATGAGCCATTATAGACTCAGATTATTTGATTCTGTGTGTTTTCTTGTGGTGTCCTTAACCCCTCAGCTCCCTACAATCCTTCCTCCTTCTCTTCTCCAGGATTCTCCAAGTTCCTCCCTAATGTTTGGCTCTGGGTCTCTGCATCAGTTTCCATCAGCTGCTGAATGAAACCTCTCACATAACAGTTATGCTAGGCTCTGCCTGCAAGTACAGCAGAATATTATTAACAGTTTTGGGAGTTGGCTCTCTTTCATAGGATGGGTCTCAAGCTGGACCAGTCATTGGTGGGTCATTTTCTCAACTTCTGCTCCACCTTTCCAGCTGCATATCTTGTAGGCAAAACAAATTGTGGTACTAAGGTTTTGTGTCTGGGTTGGTGTCCCAATATTTCCTCTGGAAGTTTTGCCTGGGTAAAGGAGGTGGCTGGTTCAGGCTTCATATACCCCATCACTAGGAGTTTTACCCACGGTCACCCTTATACATTCTTGGAAATTTCCATTGCCCTAGGTTTCTAGCTTGTCCCAGAGATGTCCTTGCATTCCAATACTCTCTCTCTCCTTTCCCCGCCTCATCCAAGACTTCTTTTTAAAGCTACAATATAAGGCAATGGTATGATGGCACAGCCTTATACATGTAAAACATTGGAACAGAACAGCAAAGAATATACAAATGCTTCATTATTTGATAGAATTTTGTCATAAATGAATATGGAGAGAAAGGCTTATCAACAAATGATATTAGGATACCTGTGTATTTATTGAGAGAATATGGAAATGGACCTCTAGCCTCATAGTGTTTCCTTGCTAGAGATTGAACCTAGGGCTTTCAACATGCTAGTAAAGCATTCTATCTCCAGCCAGTATCCTCACATTTTACATAAAATTAATTCCAAATATATTGGAGAAATAAATGTGAAAGAAAAAACTAAGACTGTTTGTTCAAAGAAAGATTTCTTTGAGATAAAGACATGCTAACTGTAAAGAGAATAGACTAACAATGTGCCTTACAATTATCAAAAGAAAACATAAAGGCAATGACAAAATAACTAAGTGAGGAAAGTTGTACGCAACATATATATAAGACAATAGACTGAAGTTAGAACAAATAACTCCCATAAATAAATTTGAAAAAGTGGCAAAAATGCAAAAGAAAAACTGTCAAATGTCTTCAATAAATGTTTAGCAAAAGTCCTAATGTCCAATAGGCACATGGAAATGTGCTCAACATTATTAATAACCAGAAAAACCAAAGCAGGAGACTTCATTTTGCTGCTACTGGGTTGGAAAAATTCAGGTAATACCAAGTGTTGGTCTGCAGGTGGAGCAACAAAAACTGGTGAACATGCCATTAGAAAAATGTTAGGCAGCATTTGGTTAAATTGAAAGTGTTTACACTCCACAAACCAGCAATGCCAGTCTTAGAAAAATATCTCACAGACACATGTGTTTATGTAGACAAGGTGAAATTACTTATGGCTAAATCATAATATATATATTTGTCTATTTTAACCTATTTTATATGCTGGTGTTAAACTCAAAATTTAATATGTCTTTAAACCAATAAAGGTGTTTATTAGCTCCTTATTCTGTTGATCTCAAGTCCTAAAAGTAATTTTTCAAATATGAAAATGACTAAATTATCATCACAAAATGAAGTATTAATGTTGCTATTTAAATTCACTGGACAATAATTTTACTCAGAATATTTAAATGAAAATAATCAATAGGTCTATGTAAGTTTACAGCATTGCCTAGGTTTTTATATAAACTGACTTTTGAAAAATCAAATAAATTATACCATGCTTTGTTTATAAATATTTGCATATAATTCCATAACTTCAAATTTAAACATATACGCTTAAAACTTATGTGTAAAGCAATTAGAGAAAATTTAAACAATTACCACAAATTAGTCTTAAAATATGGCATGTGAAATTTTGTAATATTTTGCAATTGGGATTGGGACTATTGCTCAGTTCAACTGCTTTCCAAGCATATTAGAAGGCTCTGGGTTTGATCTCCACATAAATGGGACATGTTGATGCATACCTGCAATCCCAGAACTTGGGAGATGAAGGCAGAAGACAGGAAGATCACAAGTTTAAGGTCATCCTTGTCAATATAAGGAGTTCAAGACTGGCCTGGACTAGAGACTCTGGGTCAAAAACTGTCTAGTAGTAATTGCATTTTATGCACTTATTTATTTTGTGGTTCTGGGGATGTCTTTGAAGATTCTAGGTAAGGCCTCTAGCACTGAGCTACAGCACTACAGAATTATCAGAAAGATTTTTTTTTAAAAAAAGAACTTGAATATATGAATACCATTTCTATAAACATTGAAAGTGAGTTATGGGTTGGTCATTGTGGTGTGCCCCTTTAATCCCAGCACTTGAGAGTCAGAGACAGGTGGATCTCTGAGTTTGAGGCTAACCTGGTCTATCTTGTGGAGATGGGGTTGAGATAGAATTTCTCTGTGTAAATAGCCCTGGCTGTCCTGGAACTCTCTATAGATCAGCCTGGCCTTGAACTCACAGAGTTCCATCTGCCTCTGCCTCCCGAGTGCTGGGATTACAAGTGTGCACCACCAGTGTTTGGCTGCCAGCCTGGTAGATAAAGTAAGTTCTAAGACAGCAATGGCTACACAGAGAAGACCTGTCTCAAAAAAAGGGGGGGCAATGTATGCAGTTTTCAGTCTAGGAAAACGTGTTTCTCTGTATATAGACAGAATGCATGCTCAAATAATATAGCAAATGAGATAAAATGTTAATAGTCAGATCTGAGTAAAGGCTATGTAGATGTTCTTTAAACTTTATGCATGAAAATTCTCTATAAGCTCAAATTTATTTCTAAATCATTTATTAGAATGGAGAAGGGGATACAAATTGACAGAGTGATATCAGGGAATCTATAGTGTACTTGGAGATAAATGCATCTTTTGGATAAAGATATAGGGGAATAGTGTTCATTATTTCTCTTCAGCTAGTTACACATCTTTGTGAACAATATTTTCTCTTGGAAGTTAGACATAAGTATAACTACCTGCTGCTCTATCTTTATTTCTGAGTATGTATTGTACCTCTTTGAATGGACAATTCAAAGAGTATTGATTGATACCCATCAGTATCCATGGGGATTTGGTTGAAGACTCTCTGGAAATACCAAAAGCAGCTATTCCTGAAGTCCCATATTTTCAAAACTTGTATAAATCTGTTTGCATGAAACATACATTTTATTGTTTCATTTTTGTTTATGTTTTTTTTTTTAATTTTGTGGGGAGGGAGGAGTTGAGGCATGATCTCATGAAGCCCACACTGTCCTGGAATTATGTAGTATAGGCTGCCCTTGAATCCCTATTCCTCTTATCCCCATATAAGGGGATTAAAGATATGTCATGATGCCCTGTTTTATCCCACATATTTTAAATCATTTCTAGTTTATTTATAGTATCTAATACATGGTTAAGTGATCTGAAAATTATTTTTATACCATGTTGTTTGAATGTATAACAAGCAAAAAATGCTGCACATATTCAAGACATGTGTAGTCCCCCCACAAATATTTTCTATCTATAATTCATAAAAGCAGAATCTGCAGGTAAAAAAAGCTAACAACATTGCCCCAGTCTACTCACATTTACTATATGGAAGCTTATCAGCAGCTCTTCTGGAAGGCCATTTTGTATTGACCTTCTTGGTAAATAAATACTAGCATTCTTATGGCCTGTAATCCTGATTTTAATGCCTGTAGCATTCAGTGATGAATTCTCATTGGTAGACAAATGGGTTGTTATAAAGGACAACTTTGGTTCAGTAGGTAGGTGTGGATGAAGAAATTTATCATGGTATCATGTATGAAGCAAGAACTGTTATACATGCCATCTTAAAAATACTCAAACTTCTTGAGCTGAAGGAGTAGGACAGTTGTGCAATATGATTCTGTTTGTGAAATTTTGGTGCTAAAGTCATTATAATAGCAAGCATATTGTAAATACCACAAACTCACTAGATATTCTGGTTGAACACAATTTTATTATTATTGTTATTATCATTAGCATTATAATTAGCACAAAACTAAATCCACTATTAAAAGAAAATGAACACATCCCAAAGGCATGTGTCTTGTTGACAATGGGTCAGTAACATTATCTTCATGTAATAGGGATAGCACCCTGAAGATATAGACCATATCACAGCTTGATAATCAATTCAATAATTCACAAACTTTATTGAGCACCTAGGCACAATGGAGGATTTAAGAATACATATAAGAATCCCTGCTTTCAAGAAGTTTACAATCTAGTAGGAGGTACTGAAGAACAGCAAGAACATAGGGCCACATTGGATCAGTAACATAACGGAATCAGTGCATGTTGATGAGCTGTTGGAAGGGGGTATCACAAAATTAATGTCACATTCATATAGGTGGGGGGATAGAGAATGAGCTCCATACAGGCAGAGGTATCGGAGCTGTACTTTTGTAAATTGGAGGCCTTTTATTAGCGCGAGGGGGGGAATGCAGTGCAAGTAGTGAGGACAGTGAAGGCAGAGTAAGGCCTTGGATAAGTTCATGGAATGTTTGGGGAGAGAAAAACATACATGGTGCAGTCCATGCATGTGGTGTGATAATATACAGAGAGTTATATGGGGTCCACATTGTCAATGGCTCTGAATGACAGGATAAGATCATTATACTGTAGTTGCTATATAGTTGTCCACATCAACAGAATTAGCAATTAGTTGTGAAGAGATATGGTCATGTTAGTTCCAGGTTTCGTATAGAAACTTAAGTGGTTTGTAGGCATTGTAATCACACATACACACACACATATGTATATAAACATACATAAATACGTACATGTGTGTGCGTTAGCCCTAACAGAGAACACCAAACCAAACTATAGGGCTCTTTTTTTTTTCTATTTGGCATGTACTTAAATTAATTAAACCTCTTGCTTCAAAGCCTTTATTCTTTCTATCCAGGAACCAAATGTCTTCATGTGTCCAGCATGTTCCATTCTTGTGGCATCTGATTTGTAATCAGAGTGGGTACCCTGAAAGTGGGACCCATAGCTTAAAATGAGAGCGGCTGTGGTAGAGGCAGTGAACAGTGTCAGTAAAATATAGGCATCTCTGAAGTTGGCCTCAAAGCCTAGTACAGTTTGTTAAAATTAGAGTTCTACTCAGTCTAGTCAGGAGGACTCCAGACTCACAGTACTGAGTAGAGTCTTCTTTTAAAGTTTCCTTTTATTTGGAAAAAAACCTTAAAGGAATGACATTTAATCTGGGCTACAGATTATTTAAAGACTCCAGGTTCTGAGGCTACTGAAGCTGTGCATAGACTTGGGAGACTTTCTTTGACCAAGTAATCCTGGTAGGCTTTGTCCATGACTAACAGGTAAAAAGGTAGGAGCTTCTCCCATGCAGAGACAGTTTAAAGACAGTAAATAGCAATTGTATTACATAATCAAGACAAAGAAATATACTATACACAACCAACCAGTGAAGATACCATAGCCACACTTCATTTAGTCAGTATCTTTCTTGGTGTGAGCCTTTCTCTGCAAGAAGTCATGAATAGCAGTAGTGAGGCCCCATGTCACACTGGATCTGAGGATGATCAAGGATCCTCCTCTATAAATCAAGAGTACTTTTCGACCTCGAGTGTCCCATACATCTTGTGCTGAAGCCCACAGGCTTGGCATTCTCTGCCAGCCAATATGAGACTGCATATTGGCAACTAGCACAATCAGAGGATACAGAACCAGGCAGGTGATTGTTCCATTGACACTACCAGACACCAAAGCAGGAACCCAATGGGGCAGTCCTTGCCTTGCCAAGCCATCCTGGATAGGATCCTTGAAGGAGAAATAGAGAGCACTTCCCAGGCTGTTTCTGACAAGGAGTGGCCAGAAACCACGATAATATCCCAATGACAGCCGCCCCCAAAGCCCATAAGAATTGAATTCCTTAAGAATGCTGAAGGTGCTAGGGAAGCTGGCTTGCTTTCTAGCATCCTGAAGCACATTCTGTACTCTTTCAAAGGGGCTGAGTGCTACAGCTTCTACTACACCAGACATGAGCCCTGCCATCCAGCGCTGTCCAAGGGAATGTGGCCCAACTGGGGAGAAAAAGCACAGCAGACTATCATAAGTGCCAAACAACAGAGTCCCTTGCAGGGTCTTGGAGAGAAGAGGAGGGTAGATGCCCCGGTAGAAGTACTGAGGGCCTTCATGCCAAAGCTGTCTCACAGCCTCTGACACTGCCACAGCATGAATTTGCTGCCGGAACACCACCTTATAGATAGGAAAGGTCAGAAAAGTAGACATAAAGTTGGAAATGGCCCCAAGGGTGTAGGCCTGTGAGTGCCAGATTTTCTTTCCTGCAACTTCTGCTTGTGTCCTGTGTTGAAGCTCCTTCCCAGCAGAGTTATTCTGTTCCTCCATGCTGAAGACAACTGGACACAGATGGAAGAAACTAGTAAGAAGAGACAAGAAGTTAGGCTAATAGTCTAAATGTCTTGGCAAGCGTTTTCCTGATTTGGTCTGACACAGAAACATGAAAAACTCAGGCGTCAGGAAACACTTTTAGGTTTATCAACCTTAAATGAAAATTTTAATTTGTTTCCCTCAATAGTCTGTGTTATTTTAGTGACACAATAAAGTTCAAACATTCAAAGAATTATGACTAAAAATTATAGAAATGGAGAAAGGGGGTTTTAAAACCAATCACCTTAATTCTTTTTCTTTTTCTTTTGGTTTTTCGAAACAGGGTTGCTCTGTGTGGCTTTGGGTGGCTTGGACTAGCTTTGTAGACCAGGTTGGACCTGAACTCATAGAGATCTGCCTGCTTCTGCCTCCACAGGTGTTGGGATTAAAAACATGCTCCATCACACCCAGCTTTTACCTTAATTCTAACCAAAAAAACTTTGCATTTTAAAAATGTACATATGTGCATGTGAGAGTTCACCCACAGAGGCCAGAATAGGACATTGCATCTCATGGAGTTACAGACACTGTGATTGACCTATTGTGGGGCTAGGAACTAAACCTTGGTCCTCTGCTGAGCTGTTGCTTCATCCCCCAAACTTTGCATTTTATTACTCTACTAGAAAAGCAACGTGTTTCCCTCTTTCCCAAACTACTTTTTGCCATGTTTCAGGTTACTTTGTATGTGTCAGGTAAGTCTACAAGCAGATTCACAGGCTCCACCCCACAATTTCTTTTTGGTGTGTGTATGTGTTATCATATGTTTATGTTTATGTTAGTGTTTGTGTGTGTGTGTGCAGGTATACAGCTGTGGGTGGGTGTGTGCATTCGTGTACATGAATGCATATAATCGTAGAGGCTAGAAATTGGTACTGTTGGTCTTCTACAAGTCTCCAACTTCTCTTTTGAAATAGGGCATCTCGCTGAAACTGAAGCTCACCAATTTGGTAAGAATAGCTGACCCAAGAGTTCTAGAGATCCTCCTGTCATCGCCTTCCCAGCTCCAGAACTACATGCATGTGCCACCATGCCTGGCATTTTCATGTAGAGTCTGGGGATCCAGGCATGGATCCTCATGCTTGCTGAACAAGCCTTTCACTGATTCAGCCTTCTCCTCATCAAAACCTTTTTAGGGTGCTAAAAAGTTGCAATGCAGACTTCCTTTTAAAGTCAGTTGTAAATTTGGGGGTGAGAACCTCCTCTTATTTACGTCTGTAGATTCATGCCCAAAATATAGTTGTCTCATGCCAATACCTTACTCCTCCATAATTGAAGGGAGGAAAAAGCAGCTGCTTCTGAAAGTTTCATACCATGTCACTCAACACCTGGCAATTTTCAGACTTTACCTCTTATGTACATAGCTATATAATACAGCAGGATTTCTCATTTTGTGCTCTACTGACATTTGGGGCAAGATAATTATTTTTAGTCTTAGTCACTGAAGGATGTTTATCAGTGTGCCTGGCTACTATGCACTGTCTAACAGAAGCACCAGTAAGGATCCACATTTGTGATAATCAAAAAATCACTATCTGGGGATATAGCTCAGCTGACAGAGTGTTTTCCTGCTGTTACTAAAACCTATGTTTGATCCCTATCACTATATAAACTGTATACAGGGGTGTCTATGTATAACCCATCATGTGGGAAGTAAACATACTGGGATGAGAAGTTCAAGGCCATCCTCAACTACTTATCAAGTTCAAGGCCAAATGAGGAAATATGAGACATTCCCTCCCCCGTCCTTAAGAAATCTTAAGACATGGAGAAGTAGTATTTGAATCAATTTGGAGGCCAGGACACAGAAGGTAACTTTACAATCAAGAAAAAAACAAGAGCTAGATGTGGTAGCATAAACGTGGGGTCTGAGCTACTTGGCAGGCTGAGGTAGGAGAGGATCACTTGAATTTGAACCTGAATTTCAATGCTTCCTGAATAACATAGTGAAACCTTGTCAGGAAGGAAGGACAGAAGGAAGGAATAATGGTGAAAGAAGGGGGGAGGGAGAAAGGGAAAGAGAGGGAAGGTAGGCTTGCATAGGACTGAGAAGAGAGGGTGTTCAGCAGTGGCAGCTGGCATATCAGGGAAAGGAAGCATACAGCTGGCCAGGTAGAAACAAGGAAGGAGAGAGTACTTGTTGATCAGAATGGAAGGCAGGCAGAAACAGAAAGTCTAGCAACAATTGTGGACAACAAGTTTCACACACTGGGACACTGTGGTCTGTGGTTGAGACTCTGATTATGTTAATTAGGTTATCTGGATCACTCAGTAGGGACAATGGGCTGATCAGGATGAGGCCCAGAGTGAGGAGTAGAGGCAAGCTATGCAGCCTTCTCTAGGATGCTGTATTTACAGCTTGCCTTAGAGAGCCTTTCCTAGAATCACCCTACTTAACTCTGCTTGGTCCTAGTCTCTTGTCCTGTCCCCCCAAAATACCATTTTGCACCCCCTTTTGCACAGGCCACACTTCATTTCTTGGTGATGGTGGGGGTAGCTCAACCTTCTGTGCTCTGCCCATTACCACCCCCCTGCTCCCAGCATTTCATGTTATCCTCAGAACCCACTTCACCTTCAAGACCAGAAGGAAAGTAGAAGGGTCTTTGTTCCTGGGAATCCCTTGGCTGAGAACTTGTCAAGGGCAAAGATTCAAGAGGACCATTTCTTGCATCCTTTCAAAATAATTCTGGGCTCCTGGCAGTCACTTCCATATCAAATGAGCCAAAGGGGGCCCTCCCCACATCTTCCTGCCTAGGTCACTCAGACCTCCAAAGTTAATGGAGCCTGGAACAGTCTACAGCTCTCTGTTCCAAATCTTACCTTGGCCTTAGTAAGGACAAGTGATGATATAAAGGCTTTTCAAGTCATCTAACCCTGGGTTCAGTAACATTCCAGTTCATACCCACCATTTTATAAAGATATGTACGTCACTCCAAACGACAGTCTGACTTAGTAGAAGGAAAAGCTTTGGCACACCTACATTGTAAGCTCTGGTTCATATTTTATAGGACTTTAGAAATTTAATAGTGTCTTGGAACCTCTTTTGCGTTAGTTATAAAATTATCAGGCAGGGAAAACTCTTTGGTAGGCATCCCCTAAACTGTATTCTGTCACAAGGGCTTAAATATGGGAGACTCTGTACCTGTGCCACTAAGTCCTTCTACCATTTATGCCAATAATTTTGAGGTATTAAAAATAAAAAGTGATTTAGAAACATCATATTTTAAATATCACATACATCATTTTATAAATCTAAGTACTTGTATTTTACCCAGGGAAGAAAGTTCGTATTTCTCTTGGAAATTTTTCTCTGAAGATATTTTGGGAGACAAATAGATGTAGAACTGCATTCTTTTTTCATCACTTACATAGCTGTGTGATCTGGCAGGGTGTGGGGGGTGGAAAGGCAGGACTTTCACTGTCTCACATTCTTCAGCTACAAAGTGATGACAAATAAGGCTTACACAGAAGGCTGTGTAAAGATTAGTAACAAAATGAGATAAAGTTGCTGAAAATTTATGACTTGGGGACTTTAAAAAATGTCATTCCCAACCTCATTGTCTGTATTCACAGAGTACATGTTCCTGAAGACAAGCTAAAGCCAGATAAAGTGGCATGCTGGAACATATCCACTATTCCTGTAGGAGCCAGGGAAGAGCTTTCTTCTATAAATTCAAAGGCTCAACATAATCCTCCAGAAGAATCTGGCACCCTAACATTAATTTCAAAGTATGGCATGGAGAATGGGCTTGGAGGCTTCCTTGAACAGTTATCATCTAAATCCTGTGATCTGTCTCCTATGTCTACAAACCAAATCACATGAGTATATGGGAACTAAGGCTTCCCAGACTAGTCTAGTGAAGATGGGTATCATGGGTGGGCATCCTAAGAATCAGGCCTGCATATATCTGTTCATTTGGGGAATTGACAACCAGGCCTTGGGTCAATTAAAAAACTTGTATTGATCATCTTTTAAGTCATAGGTAAATCATTATGGAGCAAAAGATGTGCAGGATTTGGTACCTGTCCTCAAGACACAGGAATTTAGTAGGGTAGATAGTTCAGCAATGGACTAATCCACACTGGAAGACAAAATAAAAATATTCATGGTCCAAGAAGAGACAAGAACAATGTATTTTACACAGGACAAGGAAAAATCAATATTGGTAAGGATGTGGAGAAAAGACAACCAGGATACACTATTTATGGGGCACAGACACTGTAAATATCAATCGGAAGGGTCCTCAAAAAAATCAAAATAGATAAAGCATATGATTCAGATATTCCACTCCTGAGTTTATACCTGGAAAAAATAAAAGTCTACCAAAGAGACAGCTGAATTGTCCAAGTATGTTGTTACACTATGCACAATGATTGCTACAAATCAGCATAAGTACCCATTAACAAATGAATGGATAATGAAAATGATGTATGTAGTTTAGTAAATGGAGTATTATTCCACCACAAAGAAGAGTAAAACCTATCATCTGCAGCAGAATGGAAGAAACTGGATGATATTATGTTAAGTGAAATTAATCAGGAACAGGAAATCAAATATAGCATGCTTTTATGTGTCCAAATTTAAAATTGTAGACCTGTAAGTAGAAGAGTAATTGTTATTGATTGGAAAGGTAAGGAGTATAAGAAGGATGGTTCAATATGATTGATGCATGCTGTATTCACATAAGGCAATATTATACTGAACCCCATTCAAGTGCTAGAGATCTGCAAAAGTCAGGAGTCACTCTTCCCATAGGATTTCTCAAGACTTCCCAGTGCACTAAAATGTGTAATTAATATGTGTTAATAATTTTTTAAGGAAAGATGTGACATAATCTTTAAATAAGTCCACTCTTGTTAGGTGATGAAGTGGAAACAGATGTTTTAGGCTAAGGAAGAGACCTAAAGGACAAAAATTAATGTTGGCACGGGTAGGTACTTCTAGAACAGTAATTTTCAACCTGTGGGTTGTGACCCCATTAGGGGTTTAACGACCCTTTCACAGGGGTGTCTTAAGGCCAGCTGCATATCAGATATTTATGTTATGATTTATAACTAGCAAAATTAAAGTTATGAAGTAACAATGAAATAATTTTATGGTTGGGGGTTACCACAACATGAGTAACTGCATTAAGGGTTTGCAGCATTAGGGAGATTGAGAACCACTGTCCTAGAACAGTATGCTTGGCCTTTATATTCATAGAAGAAATATCTTCTCTGGCTCCCATAGGAATACTGGTTATATTTCTGCAAGCTGCTTTACCTGATCCTGACTGAGATTCAGGAATATATATTCTGTGAAGACAGAACAGCCATGATGCTGGTGGTAGACAGTGAAACACAAAACAGACAGAGCAGAGGCTAACATCAAGGAATCACAATGAGGGTCATGTTTATTTTCTCCACTGATGTATGTTGCAGAGAACAAAACATTGGAGTCAGCCAACCCTCATTTTCAATTCTACTCTGCCATTTCCTAGCTTTATGACCTTGGTCAATTCTCTCCAACCCTCTGAACCTTACTATCATTATTCTTTTCTTTTATATTTCTTTCTTATTTTTGGTATGGAAAGGTGGTACAGCATGCTTGTGGAGGTCAGGGAACAACTGCGGCCTCAGTTCTCTTATTCCACCCCATGGCTTCCCGGATTGACCTCAGGTCATCAGGCTTAGTAGCAGGTACATTTAACAGAAGCCATATCAACCCCTGTATCATTAGTTTTAAAGTGATTTTCATGAAGATCACATGTAATAAAGTATATGAAGAGCTTGTGTTGCAAGTTTCATGTCTCAGAGTGAATCAGTAGCAGCTAAGGTCTAATTATGACAAAATTGCTAACGTGGAATGGCTGCATTTGGATCTTCTATTACAATGATTTCTTTCATCCTGTTTTTTCTCCTTCAGTGTTAAGAATCAAAGTCAGGTTTTGTTTTGTTTTGTCTTAACATACTAAGAAGATACTATTCTGCTAGACTGCATACCCAGCCCTGCAGGTTACATTTATGCTTTTCCTCTCAAAATGGAAAAGGAAAGTATTCATAGGTTCTGGAGTTTGGCAGCCCTGGGCTAACATCCCAGTGTGTCCACTTCCAAATAGTGTAGCCTTATACAAGAGACTTCACCTCCTTGAAACTCAATATTCTTTTCTGAAAAAAATAAAAAGGTACACAATGCCTGTGTCAGCAGGGCTGCCAAGAAGTTTAAATGAGATAGCAGATGGAAAGTTCCTGGCACAGAGGACTCCTGCTGCCAAAACTAACCACTATTATTTCATCTGAAAGCTTTATCTCCTTACCTTCAGGCTTTTAAGGTTCATTTGTCAAAATTGGAAAATATGGCCTCATTAGAACCATCATTTGCTGCACACTCCCACACATGTGGCCAGAGATAAATGATGTTCTGTATCCCAACAGACTTTGCTGGTAACTGTTCTAAAACATTCTTGCTTCAATGTCTAAACCTAACCACAATCTATTCTCTTCGTTATTTTTTTTATCAGAACTCTTAGTCTATCCTTAATTTTTTGCTCCTAGCCACCAGGTCCAACATAGCATCTACTTTGATGATGAAGCCAATGTAAACACAGACAAAGGCTCTGCTGTGAAGTTGTTGTCTTGTCTGATGTCATGGTGCTCGGGAACAGAAGCAAGAGTATGAAGCAAACCCACCAGGTACTCCTAGCCCCACGCCAACTCTTCAAGGTGAGCTACCTGCCTCCTATGTGCCTACCATGCTCTTTCCTTTCTACCACCACTATCTCCACTCCTCCATCCCCATGAGAAAGACTACAACATTAATGCGGAGGGAGCTTCCTTCCAAAATTGGATTGTGTATGCAATTCTAGTCATTACAGTTGTAAATAAGAAAGCAGACAGAAATAGGTGAAATACCTTTACAGACTGAAGATGAAGTCAACGGCAATTGCAGGTTGGTTCAAATGGTTCAAATGGTTCCTGTGCTTACAAGCATCAGGAATCAAACGTGAACCATACAGGGGCCACCCTAGCCACCATCTCCATTAGAGAAGTAGAACCTGCTGTCTAAGAACCAGAAGGCAGGGAAAGTGGAGCAGGTTTTCTAGCCTCTGGCTTCATGGCCCATTCGCTCTGGGCAGCCTTGCATGCCGTTTCCATGGAGTTGCTCCTTCTCTGGGGCCAGTGATGCCAAATCCAGCAATGGAGAAGTCCCCTGAAGAGCTCACAGAAGGGCAACCTAGCAACCTATCCTTGAGCCAGGAAATGAAAGAGCTATATCAACGGCAGAGCACTGTGGTTGGGGGTGGGGGGTGGGAGGATTAGATCAAATAGTATTTTGTTTCTCACACTTCTCCCTCAAGCAGGTATTGAAAGAGGAAGTTGTTATGAAGATTGTAGGGCAGCGGTTCTTAACTGTTTGGAGGCCATGGGCCTATCTGAAAATTCACAGAGCCCATGGTATCAGAAAGAAGTGGTCAAATTCTTTGCATGTTATTTCAAGAAGGACTTGAGGTAGGAACTTCTGTTCTGGAATTTAGGTTCGTGACAAATAGACTGTGGACAAACATTTAAGTTGCAGATACTGATGGCCATTTACTGATGATAACGTTCAGCATGGTATGGTGTTTAGAACAGAGGTTCACAGCTTCTCTACAACCTAGAGTCAATTAGAGCAACAGGTATAATACAAATGACATTATTCATCCCAAGTCCCAGTGAGGCCAGATCCTCAGAGCTGGAGCCCAGGAATGTGCATCTCGAATAAAACCTCAAAAATGACTCTGTGATAGCCAGCTGGACACTCATACTTTAGCTCCTGGTAGACCAAATTCTGGATTAAGAGCTCTGGCTTCACAGTGAAATTTTAGGCCAATTTCCTTTGGGGTCGTACAGAAATGTTGCTATTTTTATACACAGGTGGTTTATTTTAGTGTAAAAAAATGTGAGCAGAAAAGTGCCTCCGTTTCCTCTTCAGTATAATGCATATCATAAAGATTGCCTTCCTCTTCTTTCCCATCTCTCCCCACTTCCCGCTTCGGCACAATCATTTCTTCAGCCAAGCTGCTGAGACAGTTGGTGGATACATATGTAAGAGTGAGAATGCTCTCTCTGGGCAGCCCATCAGGGCAAACTGTTGGCATCAGCACAGAGGAAAACGCTGACATCAACAGAACAGCTGACTGAGGTGTAAAATCCGACACTACTAGGTTCTTTGCTGCATGATACAGGACAAGATGCCAAAGCTCCTGGTGTCTCAGTTTTCTCATCGGTAAGTTGCAGACAGCAGTTCTTGGCCATTAATTTTATGTAGCCCTAAACTGGTCCTCTGGTCCTCTCGTCCTCATTTTAGCTTTTCTAACCCTTAATCTAACACTAAGGAGAGGTGTTTAAAAGTGTAACCTTTGAGTTTAGATGCCAGGACTGGAGTGTGAGCTGTTAATTCTGTGCTCCCTACCCGTACTGCCTAGGTGCTAAATCCCTCTCCCTGTTAAATGGGTACACTGCTGTGTTTTATCACAAGACTGATGAGAAGAATAAATGAGATGTCCGTGCAAGCACTTTGGCCACACAGAAAGCGCTTAGCAATTACTACCCCCTATTCCCTATACAAAGGTGAAGAACTCTCATTGTTCACTTGCTTTTGGTCCCACCTCATGTTTAAGGCATCCGGTCGCAAAGCATCAGAGGAGAGCCAAGACGGAAGGCGATAGGAAGAAGGGAAGAGAGGGGAAGCTACAAACTCACAAGTGAAATGTAAATGGGCCAGGTCCGTGAGTCCAAGCTGCACTTGACGCTGGTGTGCCCGCTTCCGCGCCAGTCTGCTGCAGCCCCCTCCAGCAGGTCCCCCCTCTCGGGCAGGCATTAACATCCTGGCCCAGGCTTTGCTGGGAGGCCGTCCCTGCGCACCGCTGATTGGCCACTCTACTCCTCTCGTCATGCTCTTTTGTCTCAATGGGCAAAGGCTAAAAGCAGCCTCGACTGCTCAGCAGACTGAACTGGAGGGCGGGACCAGCTGCAGCTAGTTGCCTTGGAAACGGCTGCTGCTACTCCGCTACCACTGGCTGGGCAACTCTGCAAAGAGGCTAGCTCTGTTGGGTAGCCCAGACATCTCAGTGGCTGAGGCGCCATCCTTTCTCCTGCAGGGCCCAAGAGATGAGACAGCTATTCACAACTCCTGGGCATCCATCCTCTGCCCATCTACAAAGTCCAGGTAAGTAAAGAGAGGTGCAACCGCATAATGTGGAGATGGGAGGATGAAACCTTAACATTTTGGCCTTCAGAACTGGCAAACTTCAAAGCAAGGGAGTGAATACCCTAGTGGCCGAGCTATATGGTAGGATGAGTTGAGCTTTACCTAGATGCTACCTACAGTTGAAATTTGCCTGGATTGGAGAGAGGACTTTTTTTTAACCCCAGTGTGGTCGCAAAAGGCAGAGGGAAAAATTCACAATCAGTCATTTCTTCCTGGATAGAAATACAGAGGTAGAAAGGTATCCAACTTATCTTCCCTTTTCTCCATGGCAGCTCAAATTTGAATTTTCTGTTATCTCTTCCTGGGTAGAAACACAGAGGTGAGAAGGTATCCGACTTCTCTCTCTCCCTCTCTCTTTCTCTTTTTCTTCATGGAAGCTCATCAAAGCCAATTTCAAATTTGAATTCTGTGTGACTGATTGTGGAGCTGGTAGGATGGGGGAGGGGTAGACCCTTTGGCTTTTATTCTGAAGGGTTTCCCCCCTGGTGACAGTGGAGCCAGTGAAGGATGATGAGACTGCTTCTGGTAAGGCCCTTCTCTTCCTTTCCCTTTGCTGTGGGCACAGTCTAAACTAGAGGTCCAGAACAACTGGATCTGAGAAGACTGTGGACAGATAGAGATCAGCCCTACCCAGGACCATAGAAAGCACCTTTTGCAAAGGCTGGGCTTGAAAGAAAGGTGAAAGCCAGTTTCTGAGCTCTGGTAAGAATTGAGGGAAAGGGGGATGGCCCTGTACAGGGTGCGGGCATGGAATGGGACATTGCTATCTAAAATCTTTCAGGCCTTACTCATTAACATAATTTCGTGAGGCTTACTCTATTGTCCTCTACTTTAAGAGCCTAGTATGGGCTCCAAAGGCTGCTGTATCTAGAATTCCAAGCAACAGTTGTTGCTTCTTCTAGAGAACAGGCAGTGAGTTGGGGTACAGTGGGGTGGGAGTAAATGTGTCTCTGACAAAGGCATCACTAGCACAGAGAAATTATTGCTCCTGAAGGTTGTTAAGTCCCAGTTTCCTGCTGAGTAGTTTTACGGCAGTAGACAAATATTCAATACTGTAGAAAATGTGATTAGAAGCTTGTTTCAGAGTCCACTGTATTATTGAACCCTTTTTCTTCTTTCTTTTACAGTTCCTACCCTGAGACAAGGAAGACAGTGCCAAGGAACGTTTCTTTGGGGGTTTCTTCAGATTGGTTTTGTTCCCAGAAAGCCCAAGCATTTTTTATTTGGAAATCCAATTGTTGTCAGACATGGCTAGCATGCTTGCTCAAATGGGTAACAGTAGGCGGTAGAATGCAGCTTTTCTGCCCTTGGTCCATTCCATGCTGAGGTCGCTGGGAGGAATCTTGTTCCTTTCATAGCCAACATGGCAGAGAGAAACATGAAGTAGTTCTCTGGGAGGGCAGAGACAGCCCAGGGGGAAGAAACCTTTGAGAACTAGCTAAGCCAAGTCCACAGGGTCCTACCAGATTGGCATATGCCTGAGGAGGAAAAGCTTAGATGGCTGATGAGAAACCATAGGGGCCTTGCCTGGGAGGTCATGCGTTTGCTCCAGGATGCCAATCCTAATCTAAAGGTGGCAGAATTTTTTTGGGCAATGAAGTTTGTGTTTGGAGAGTCTAACAGCACATGGTGATTTTTAAAAATCCCTGCAAGCACAGGGAGAGAAACCATCCCTGTGTGTGATCCCTTTAGAGATACAGCTACAGCATGCTATTCAGGCTGGGGTCCTGGCTGAGAGTGAAGCAAACAGGACTGGCTTGCATCAGCTCCTTGTAGGGGCTAAGCTCAGTAGGGACCTTTGCATCAAGCTTAAGGGTCTTCTCCAAATGCATGTACATAATGAGCAGGATGGCCTTCCTGATTTCTTGGAGTTAATCAGAAGGGTAAGGGAGAAAGAAGATTGGGATGACACTTTTCTTAAAAAAATAAGCTGCCCAGAAGATCTGAGACAATAATGGAGAGGTCACCCAGCCCTGTAATATTTCAGGGTCTCCTGCCCTAAATGATAACCAGTGCTGACTGCAATGTGATAGAGATAGATGATCCACAGGATGACTCAGATGAAGATGTGATCCTGGTGGAGTCTGAGGACCCCTCACTCTCATCCTCATGAGCCCCAACTCTCAAAGGCAGAGCCACTACTCAGGATCAAATGCTAGTTATTGAATCTCCCAACAATTTTGATGAGTCTCCTTCCATCAGTAGTGGTTCTGGGCAAAGGAATAATGGGCCGGGGGATCTTCGGAAAACCGGAAAGCAAAAGTACCTAATCTGCTGTCACCACTGTGGTGAAGAGGGCCATGCAAAGGAAATTTGTGACAATACCAGCAACAAGGCCCAGGTGTTTGAGAATCTGGTAGTCACTCTGCAGGTGGTGACTCATGGAGAGATCAAAATCCTCTGCACCATACTAAGGTGGGAGACTCAGCCCCAGGTCAATGTTTAACTCCTCTTAGAAGCTGAATCTGGAAAAAAAAAAAAAACAAAAAACAGGGATAGGGTAGGCTTCTAACTGAAGGAATTCATTCAAAACCAGTTTTCTTTGGAGAAGGAAAAGCAGACTCAGACTCATATACCACATAACAGAGAGGGATGGTCCCACATAATTCCTTGCTCATTCCACTGACTGCTTAATGGTTGTTTCTCTGTGTGCGTCTTTCTGTGCTGATTTTAATCTCTCCATGAAGTGTTTTTTTTTTTTAACGTTCCAAATGAAATTTTAAAAATGAAAACATTAAAGTACACGTGAAAATCTCACCCTGATACAATCACTGTCAACTCTTTGGTGAATGTCCTTCTGTATATTTCTCTGTACCTGTGTGCCCAAAATATAATTGCTGTTCTATACTACGCATTTTTTTCAACAATTAGTATGTATTGTGGTCTTCTATATAAATGAATATATAAGCTTCTAATTTAATGTCATGCATACTATATCTTCGGAGAAGATAAATAAAAACAGAAACTAAATTGTAACAGCTATAGTAGGGGAGTTTTACTTAAAGGTAAGAAGGGATGCTAAATGAACTAAAAATCTCTTTAAAGTCTCTTAAAACAACTGGCCATCCTCTCAGTTTACAGAGCCATCTGTACCAACTAGTTAATGTCTCACTGTCCTCAAATATTTCTTGAGAAATCTGCCCATGGGCCAAAAAGGAGCTATCCCTGTCTGTTTCTGCCTCACCTTCGGCCTGAGATCAGAGGCTGAAGATGACTTCTGATATCTGTCTTTGAGCATCTTTCTTGTGGGTGGTACATTAATCTTTATACTTAAAAGACAGACAGGGAGTGATTCCATATAAAACTGACAGAAGAATGTGATGAATGCTGACCTAAAGATCTGATGCATTTGTAAAAGACTTATTTTTATTTGAAGTGTAGGACCTTTTTGCCTGCATGTATTATATGAGCTGACAGAGGCTAGAAGTCTGTGTTAGATTCCCTGTAACTGGGGTTTGTAAGCTACCATATAGATAAGTACTGTGAACTAAACCTAGGCCTTTGAGGGTAAAAAGTGCTCTCAACTGCTGAGATATCTCTGCAACCATACTATGAATCATTTTACCCCAATATAACAGGGTATACTCAGGTCTGAGAGGAGAGTGTGCAACAGAGGCAACTGCCGTGTCAGGAAGAGAAATTAAGGCCAAGTGGTACATGCAAGCTATGTAGCCTTACTTCTCCAGGATGCTGCACTCACAGCTTGCCTTAGAGAGCTTTTCCTAGAATCACCCTACTTGACTCTGCTTGGTCCTAGCCTCTTGTCCTGTTCCATCCCTCCCCACACAATATCATTTTGCACCTCCTTTTGCACAGGCCACACTTCATTTCTTGGTGATGGTGGGGGTGGCTCAATCTTCTGTGCTCTGCCCATTACCAACTTCCCTGCTCCTAGCACTTCATGTTATCCTAAAGTCTCAGGGCCACCTTCACCTTCCAGGCCTTGGAGGAGAACTTGCCAAGAACATAGTTTCAAGGGGGCCATTTCTCACATCCTTTTGGAATAATTCTGGGCTCCTGGCAGTCACTTCCATATCAAAGGAGCCAAAGTGGGGGGTCCCCTACTTCTCTCTGCATAGGACAAATCATCAGGCCTACAGAGCCACTGGGTCCTGAGACTTCTTTCAAGTTTATAGTTCTTTCTTCATCTCTATTGCTTTCAAATCTATCCTGATTCTCAGATTATAAGATAGAGTCTGCCTTGGCTACTTACATTTTGTCTTATTCTATGTTTTTGCGTGAGTTCCCCAGGTTTCTAATTTCGCTCAGGAAGCAGGTAGTTATGAGAACATATGCTATATCACCATTGCCAAAAACAATGCACTTCTGTTTCACTTTGTGGGGACACTAAATTTATTCAAGGAATATGTACAAACTGGGTGTAGTGGAGCACACCTTTAATCCCAGCACTTGGGAGGCAAATGCAGGTCTCCATGAGTTTGAGGCAAGCCTAGTCTACAGCCTGGAACTCCAGGACAACTACAGCTTTACAGAAAAACCCTGTCTCAAATTAATAAAAACTTTTTTTAAATGTACCTTCTCTAACAGAAAGATAGCAAGAGGAGAAAAGCTGGCATTTTGCCTTCATTTTCTTTGTCCCTGTTTACCTCTGCACATAGGCATGTTAATCACTCAAGGAGTGCCTCCATGTATTCACTCCTCTTCAAGACTGAACGTATAGAGAAAATCCAGTGTCCTAAACCTATGGTCACCATGGATTCTTGGAACAGCAGAATCTCACATTAAAGATATTCCTTCTGATGAGAGCAAGTCTCTATGTTGGCACAGCTGAGTGCTAGTATGGAAACAATCAACTCCAGTGAACCATATTGACTCTCTCAAGAAATGAAAACAATAAGGACTTCGTCAGACCACCCTGCAGAACCAGGATTGAGGCAATATGATTAACTAGGCCACACTTAGAGAGGTCCTGCTTAATTATGCATACTCCTGCCCCTTGTCCCAGTCGCCACTACTTAAACCTAAAGCTCATGTGGGTACCGAAAAGATGGACTCTGAGGTATCAGTCCCTCTTCCCAATGTGGTCACATTGAATAAATCTCTCTGCATTTCACTATTACATGTCTAATTAATGTTTTAGGGATAGATACCTAGCCAACCCTGTTAGGAAAACACACAGCCACTCCTGATGAGACCTAATTGACTAGGATCAGAAGGAAGGAAAAGAAGACCTCCCAGTGGACTTGGGGAGGGGCATACATGAAGAGGGTGGAAGAAGAAAGGGATTGGGATGGGAGAAGGGAGGGAACCACAGGGAGGATACAAAGTGAATAAAGTGTAATTAATAAAGAATTTTAAAAAAAGGAAAAAAAGAAAAACACAATAAAAAATTGGGACTTTAAAAAAAAGAAAAAGAAAACACATCAATGCCTGTCTTTTTCAGATACCTCTTGGCTTCTCTGAGCAGCATGGATCCATTTGGGAGGAGGAGAATCATATGTACTACTACATAGGTAAAAGGTAATCAGAGAGTTTGTTCTTGGCACAATGTCCAAGATAGAAAGTCATGGAAAGGCAGTACTTCTATGAGCCAATTTGATAATAAGACATTTTTGTTTTCTAGGCAAGCTATGAGGAAAAAGTAATGATCTATGAACCATGGATGAAAAGTGTGTGTGTGTGTGTGTGTGTGTGTGTGTGTGTGTGTGTGTGTGTG